ATTATATACAACAAAAATAAAAAATACAAACACAACGAAATGAAAGGAAGCAGAGAGAAGAACAAAAATCTTATACTGTATCTGCCCCTTTTTTCCTCAATTCAAACAACAGTAATCTTTAGTTAACAAAGCAAAACATGAACATCAAATCTTTCTAGAACAACAAATTATATGTTCACATTATAGTGTTTCATATATTTTCAACAATCCAACCTTTATCATTCTCTTGAACATTTACTTTGATTTGGCACTTTTCACATGATTTTCCAGAATATTCCACAATCTGACTCCTTGGACTGAGGTGCAAAATACACCAGTTCTGAGATAAAATTAATAAAATAAAGTGTTTTGTGCCAGGTTTTTTCAACATAAAAAATGTTTTCTTTGACTTTATATAGACAGGGTTTCTAAGACTTAAGGCAAGTTAAATTTAAGACTTTTCCAAACCTCTTTAATGCCACTTGAAAGAAAATTTAAGACCAACTTCACAATAAACACCAATGGTAAAAAAAAAAAAACAGCAAAAATTTTACTGTTAAAGGCAGTCAGTAAATTATTTAAAAATAAATAAAAGCTACCAATTATTTTAAGATTTCAGACTAATTACAATCATCCTACTTACAATGTGTTAACATTTAAGACATCTTAAGGCTAATAAAGGCCTCACTTTTGGATTGATGAATTCAATGATTTTAAAACTTTTTAAGGATCTGCCAGAACCATGGTAGTTGAAGGACATGCATGTCACAGGGACTTTGTATATAATCCATAAGAATCCTACTCATCCATTGCATATAAAGTTTGTCCCCATGTAGTTTTGTTGCTTTCAGCAATTTGCATAATTTTTTTACCTGCTGCTGCTAGAAACATGTTAATTTCTGTCTTTACTATGGCAGATGATTGGAAACGTTTACACAATACTGATTTACTGTTAGATACATTTTTGCTTGGAAAAAATATCCTGTGCAAAGCAAGAGTTTGCTACAATTCAGAAACAACTCGAACTGTTCTTGACTAAAACACCTTGAAGCGTTTTGAGTTTACATATTTGTTTGGAGCAACATGCTTAATTTAAAAAAACTTACCTCGACACACGTTGCTGTTGTCCGGTTCGTAGCCTGCCTTGCAGCTGCAGCTGCCAATGGGCACCATCCACTCTCCATCTCCGTTACAGTAGAGCTTTATGGGAACGTCCACCTCCTCTGCATTTGGGATGCAGCTTCCTCTGGCGATAACCAAGGAGGTGGACTCTGCTCCCGTCAGTGTCTAAAAAAAATAATAACAACCTTATTGAAACACAATCMAACACATTTTTTAATGTTTGTTTTTTAGTTTTATTCTGTTTTGAGCCATACCTCGGGGAAAGAAGCAAAGTTCTGCACGATGCTGGGACATTTCTTGTAGAACACTCTAACAGCCAGAAGGGACATGCAGGCGCCCAGATCCTGGAAAGCCAAGTGGAATCCTCTGCCTTTGGACAGTGGCCCAAAACTTCTTACTTCTGTGTTCACCTTCATTAGTCTGCCCCCGAAATCCACCTGGGAGAAACTCTCATCTGCTGCAATGGTGTCCACCTGGAACGAGTAAAAAAAAAAAACAAGAAGCTGAATACGAGTTAAAAATGTAAACAAACTGATCATGAAAAGGTCGAGTTTCTGGGGAGGTTACCTTTAAAAAGGGGGCATTMGCCCAATACTCCACACCTTTGATGCCCTCTGACACAGTCCTATCAGTTTCTAGGTAGTAGAGATTAAACGTCTCCTTGCAGGAGCCCAGGACACTTGGTATGGAAGCACAATCCCGTACGGTGAAGCGGATCTCCACGTAGATGCGCTGTGCCGCCCGCCGGTCAATGTAGGTGGTGAGCAGCCAGTTGTTCTGGCTCGGCTCGAACACGTTGCACACCTGGTACGTCCGGATGGTGTTAAGGTTCTCATCGTAGCCGCTCACCTCCTCCCACTGAGCAGAGACGGGGAGTAAGGGGGGTGGGGGGTTCAGAGGGGTGGAAGAAGAAGAAGAAGAAGAGAGAGGCAAGGCGAGACGTTAAGATGATAAATGGGTTTACTAAGACCAGACACAAATTAAACTTTCTCTATCACTCCTTCCCAATTTTTCTCCCTCCATTATCCTTCCTCCCTCATCTTCTTTTTTTCCCCCTCCCCTCTCCTCTACCTTGTTCTAGTGCTGCACAGGGACAACCATTCATCACAATTAGAGCCATTCACCCCCAACACCCAGCAGACTACTGCGACCGGCTAGTTGTCAGATTGGAATTTAAAGAAGCCAGATTTGAAGAAAGACGATGAGAAAACCTGTTCTGCTCCATTTTCCTCTCTTTCACCGCTCTGCTCTTATCTTCTGGAATGTATTCTTTTCTGCATCAGTGGTGGTTAATTGATGTCACCTTGCCACTGTAATTAAAATTTTGACTGACTCGTTAATGGACCACTCTAAAAGTGTAGTGAAACCACTTTCCCCCCGTGGGTGGCTGCACATACACAGACAAACGCACACGTCCGGAACAGCTTTTGCACATTGTTCTTACTCCATTGGCAGGAAACGATATCCAGCCAAGCTCAGCTGTCGCCGTCCTCGTATCCATCACTGTCTCTGTCACACAAAAAAGGGAGACGGACAGGGAGAAAAAGGTGAAAAGAATGAGCTTCAAAAAGAGGACAGGTATGAGCTTAATTAACAGTCTTTTCATTTGCCAACTTTAGTGCTGCTTTGTGCTGTGTGCCATTCATAKTCATAAAAAGCCAATGTCACACAGTTTCCACAATGCATTTCCCTCTGTTCTGTTCAGGCTTTGATACTATAAAAGATCTAATAATGAGACAGACCTCTGGATAATACAATATGTACAAAAGCAATAATGATACRAGACAATAAATAGAGGTAATCCTGTTAATCAGGGTTTTATTCYAACCTTTGCGTAACAAAAAAGCTAGTCTGTTAGAAGTAAATATCTTGCCTAACCTCTGGTTGCAGCAAAATGTCATCCTTTAATTGTAACTACCATTACTTGTCAATTGTACCATACCTTTCAACAGAACTAAAAAAAATGTTGAAATAGTGCATCAAACGTTTTAAAATTCTGTTATACCTGAAAGTCTTCAAAAGCTTTAAAAAAAGTTTCTACARAAGAGGTCTTGAAAGAAAAATGTTTTAAAACAACAGAAACCAAAAGAATTTTGAAAGACAAAATTGCAACAAATACACAAGCACACATTTTGTACCRGCTTTTTAAGGACAAGGATAATGTAGAAATTTCAGTGTCACCATCTTTGTCTAATGGGGACCTTCACTCATGAGGACCTACACACTCCAGTGTTGGCCTCTTACCTCTGATAAAATGTTTAGAGCAGATGTTAAGTCCATGATTTTTTCCAGTCACATTCAGCTGGTCCGGCCGTCCCAAGGCGTTCCCAGGCCAGCCGAGAAACATAGTCCCTCCAGCGTGTCCTGGGTCTTCCTCTGGGCCTCCTCCCAGTGGGACGTGTCCATTACACTGCAGGGAGGCATCCAGGAGGCATCCTAACCAGATGTCTGAGCCACCTCAACTGGCTCCTCTCGACGTGGAGGAGCAGCGGTTCTACTCTGAGTCCCTCCTGGATGACTGAGCTTCTCACTCTATCTTTAAGGGAGAGCCCAGCCACCCTGCGGAGGAAACCCATTTCACCCGCTTGTATCCACGATCTCGTTTGTTCGATCACTACCCAAAGTTTGTGACCATAGACGAGGGTAGGAATCAACCGATAAACCGCTTCACCACGATGGATCAGTACAGCGCCCACATCACTGCAGACAYAGCACCAATCTGCCTGTTGATCTCCCGCTCCATTCTTCCCTCATTCATGAACAAGACCCCGAGATATTTAAACTCCTCCACTTGGGTCAGGACCTCCTCCCCGACCCGGAGAAGGCACCCTACCCTTTTCTGTCTCAAGACCATGGCCTCAGATTTGGAGGCACTGATCCTCATCACGGCCGCTTCGCACTCAGCTGCGAAACGCTCCAGTGAGAGCTGGAGATCACGATCTGATGAAACCAACAGGACCACATCATCCGCAAAAAGCAGAGATTTAGCTGKTCCCATCACTGGAACCCATCTGTTTGCCTAGCATCTTAGCTTGGGAACAGTGACAAAAAATACTCACTGTTAGTAATGTAGCATAATGTTTTGTGATCCTCTCGGTAGAGATTGATGCTGTTTTCCTGAATTTATTCAACTTGAAACACATCTAGACCTGCGTAGCACCATGAAAATCAATGGGGCGGCTACAACAGTTTGTGCACACATCAGTGTCGAGCGGACAGTGAGTGAAGGTCCCCATTAAAGTTATACGTGACCGTTTCTGAACATGGGAGAGTTTTCTTTTTAAATGGCTACCAGCAGACTGATAAATTTATTAAATGACCTGAAAAAAATACTTCTTTATAGTTAGGAAAAAAAAGCCTTTTTGACACAGATACTGTATTAACTATTGTCTGCCGGCTATGTCCACCATGTTACTGGAACACCCAGCTAATGCCATGTATTTATTGGTGCTAAGCTTAAATTATGATTTACAAAAACTTCAATCAGACAAATTATCAGTATGGTTAGACTACAATGAATATTACAATTATTAGATTTAACAATCCCTACKTGTCGATACTGTAGAAAAGAATACAGAAGATAAAAAGTGGGTACATTTATGTCACTACCTACATACACTTTTAGTATAACCTACTGTACATAATATGTGACCCATCACAGCAAACCAAGGAGTAACTCAAATTTGRTYGAAATGACCTAATCACATTTTCAGATTAATGGTTTTAAAAGCTACGTTTTGATACCTTGATAACCCTGATTTCATGAGCAGTTCCAGCGATATGAACTAATTTGTCTTGTTAATAGGAATGCGAGATATAAACGATATACGGTAGAAACGATATAAATTTGTCCTATGATAGAGATCTGTAGTCTACCGGCCAACCGCGCAATTCTTTTTGATGACTTAACCGGCTGGAGTCAAAACAGAGGAAGCAGGAAGCAGCCTGGCTGAGATCGCAAAGGAAGAGGGGGGAAAAAAAGCACCCGAACCGGACCTGGTTCGGGTGTACGAAAATGAACGCCGAACTGTTTGCATATTTACGTGACGGCGCGTCCTCCGGTCTGATGCCGACCGACCACACTGCCTGCTGCGGGAGGAGCGAGCGCCGCGGCAC